AAAAAAAAAAAAAAAATTTTTTTTTTTTTTTTTTTTTTTTTTAAACAAACAAAAAAATGAATAAAGGTATTGTTTTTTTCATTTATTCTTATTTCATTTCAAATTGAAAGCCAAACTATCAAAACACATAAACCCATTTGCTCTCTTGTTACATAATTTGTCAAACAAAAATTTGCTACAATGCAGAACAAACTGCAAATATTGAGTTGACACCACAACGAAATCCACAATGGAGAAAAAATGCAAACACACACACATACACTTGAGGTCAAATGTTAAGGAGGTCCAAAACTAATTAAAAACCTTTTCTCTTTTACTCACCATTGTATTATTAAATCTATATTCAACAACTTGAATATTACAACCATGGGTACATTTACTTGCTAAAAATAGAGTCACAATACAGTTAAATTTTTTTTCATATTAATCCATCACTGTATGTCACTTAACTTTAAATAAATAAACGGCTGTGATATAAAATAAAGATGTCTGATGTAATCTAAATGTAATAGACGAACATTTAACGTTAGTGAACTAATGATATATTTTAATATAACAGCTACGATTATGCATTGTTAGCCACATCTTTAACATTTAACTTTCCGACGATGTTAACTCATACTAATTCTACAATCCAAAAAAAGCAACGTCAAACTAAATATATAAAAATGTTTCCAATTATCACTTACCAAACTTCGCTCGCTTTGCTCCAGAGTTGAGAAGTGCACGACCGTTAGTGAAGCGCAGCCTCAGTGCATCAGTGCCCGCCCACTTCTTCAATTGGGAATGAGAATGTGACGTAACGCCGCGTTGAGTTCTGGGAAACTGCTTTGTTTATCCGCCATATTGCAGGATAGCGCTGCCTTTCCGCTACTGAGTTTAGGTCAGTATTTGATTGTTTGTCGTGATTGTGAAAAATGTATGTCATTCATACTGCATCGATAATTGCAATAGTAGAGTCATTCCACGAAACCGGTACGATTTGAGTCCCTCTGACCTTTTTAAGTGTATTTTATCTATTGGGTCCCCAAAATCTATTTTTAAAAGCTTTTTGTGTTAATTGAAATGTCTCCTTTAATAAGGTTTAAAAACATGACATACATTTTATCTTTATATTAGAAATTATCTTGTTTTTTTTCAGTTGACACCACCTATTTTGTCATGTCCCTCATGGCCTTCTATGAAAGTGTACTTGGGGTATGAATAATACAATTATTTTATTATAATTTCTCATAAATATCTGTGCTTTTTTTGCTGGTCATGTTTTTTTTCTAAGTAA